TCATGACCCCAGGGTCCTGGAATCGAGTCCCACATGGGTCTCCTCACTCAGCAGGAAGCCTGCTTCTCCCTCTCCCTCTGCTTCCCGCCCCCCCCCCCTTGTGCTCTCTTGCTCTCTCTCTGGCAGATAAATAAATAAAACCTCTTAAAAAAATGAATTCTTTCCTTTTCATCAGAGTTAGGCTTTTTTTCATGAATAATTATGTAATTTTGCATAATTATTTGTGATTTTCACAATTAATTACACTGGACATTTGGACAAATAAGGAAAAACAAATAGAGTTCCTACTCTCACATATAACAAAATACTCTTTCCACATACCGAATACTTTTTACAAAAAAAATTGAGAGGATTTACTTTTCATTGGGGACATTTGGAGAAGCAATTTTAAAATTCGAAGTGTATTTTGTAAAAATGCTGTCATACTTTTAAATAACTTAGGGAACTTCAGAGAACGTTTTTATATAAATGCAAATTACGGTTGATTATATTTGGATGTCATTTTCCAAAACAGCAAGGATGGAATTAAACAATGAAGCCCGAGAGGCAGGAAAAGTGACTTAGAAATTCTGCCCCAGGTGAAACCCAAGCGATGACCTGTGTTTTCTGAGAGCGATTTTCTTCCAAAGATGGTGGAGGTTGCCTTCTGAGTTAGGGTTCGAAGCTGAGACTAGCACTGCTGCATTCCCTGTGGAGGTTAATTTGGATTAAGAGTCAGCATGAACCTTCCTCACTACACTGTTTTTTTTCACATTTAACAGAAAGTGCCATGTTTATCTTGTCCACCAAGCCACGGTTCATCTACTCTTCCCACCTAGAAGCATCCTGGGTCTTCACCTCCACCTTCAGCTAAATCCTTCTCTCTGACACCCTGTTTGTTCTGTGTCTGTACTGAATTCTGCTTGCTCAGTCCCCATGTAGCATTCATTACTCATGTACAGATTTACTATATCTGCCTGTTTTCTCTGGCGCTGGTTGGAAATAGTGAGCTCTTGTTTCAGTAAATGATATGACATGCTCCCTGGTGCTCTCTGCATTGTAGATGCGTTTCCTCTGTGTTCGCAATCCTCCTGCTCGTGGCTAGGTAAGTCCTTAAGTGATTTGGTCTGATTGCATCATCTTATGGACGAGGAAAATGAAGTTCCAAAAAAGTAATGGGCTTTCCCCTAAGTGAAGATAATGGCCAGTTAGTGTCATGGGTAAAGCCAGGACTGGAAGTTAGATGTCCTGGTTGCAGGTTAGAACAGTTTCTACTCTTCCTTCCTTGCATCCTGCATCCAACAAAAATTTGTTGAGCCTCTCCCAAGTGACAGGCATGCTGCGAGGCTCCGAGCCACGTTGAGCCTGTCTTAGAAGTTCTGCTGTGAGCGTGGAGGAAGACACGAATGGGTGTCACACACATAGATGCACACCATTTACTCCAGTAAGTGCTGCTAAGGATTGTGTAGTTATATGGGAGTAGTAATGGGTGGAAGATGTCCTTGAGAAACTGACTTTGACTTGGAAGACTAGGGCATTGAGCTTCTGCGTACTTTTTAAGTGCAATTAAATTAGGCAAGTATTTCTTATATGGGCCCGCAAACGAACTTAAAGTCTGTAACCTCCAGTCCTTTGCTCACTGTATAGTCTAGAAGGGGAGTAAGTCAAGATGTAACTATTAACATAAAACAAAATACAGACGTTCCATGGTACAAAGGCTGCAAAGATAACTCTTGTTTTGAAGGGGCAGACAATCAGAAGTAACTTCCTGTGGCAGGTAGCCTCTGATATAGCTCTGGAGCAAAAGCTAAAGGAGGTACAGAAAGGAAGAGGGAAGGCATTCCAGTTGTAAGTAAAAGCAAGCAGAGATAGACCAGGAGAGGAAATTACAAGAGTTTTCTGGCAATAGAAAGTAGTCTCATTTTACAGCAGCCGGCTCTTGGTGGAAAGTTACAACTATACACTGTTGACAATGTTGTCTCAAATAAAATGCCCTTACAGTCAATGGAAATTAAGGATGGAAATGCAAATATTCTGTCTTGTTCCTACTCCTGGAGCCCATAATCCTGTGCTTTGTTTGGTTGCCATTCATATGAACTGCCCCCCCAGCCCCCCGCAGGAACGCTGTCTAGTTCTGTAACTGCTGTATTACTTAGCATTTCATTGGGGTCCAATAAACATTCAATCATAATAGTGAAAAGTGTCTGGTATGTTGAAGCTGTTTTCTCTGGCAGACGCCAACTTCTCTAGACACAGAAAGAGGACTCCTTCCAAATGCTATGACTGGCCCAGGGTAGTAAGTATCAAACGTGTTGTAGAAATAGTACCTATACTAACCCGTGTTACCATGTAGCTTTTACCCTATTCAGAGTGAGATTCCCACCATTTCTTCCTATGGATCGTATAATCATTTGTCTAAGTGTTCTTGTGGAAAAGTACTGAAAATCACCTGCTCTGTGTTTGCCAGTAGCCGGCTACTGTATTCTAGCTCGTGTGGGACAGTGTTATTGGTCAAGCTTATCAGGGAAGCAAATAGAAAAGAATCTTTTAGAACATATGTTGCAAATCACTGGCCCCAAACTAGCTTTTATTTATTTTTTATAGGGTTGCCAAGATCTAAAATTAGGGATAATTCACAGGAAAACCTAGATTTTTTTTTTCTTTCTTTCTTTTTTTTTTTTTTTTTTGGCTTCCTTGAGAAATCGGAAGAGCTGGCAACATTGGGCCCACCTTGCCAATGGTGGCATTTGGTTGGGGCTAAGCAGCAGCTGCGGTCTTTAATTAGGGAACGTATTCATAACATGCCACAGTCCCCATTACTCCCTATTGCCTGTATCCAGCCCATGTGAGTCATTTCCGTGGCTTCATGTCTCTTAAGACATCTGCTTTGTCATGATTGTTGCCTCTGTGAGCCTCTTCTCTTTAGCTTCCCATAACAATTTTTGGCCAGCAAGGCAATTAATTATGATCAGAACAACTAGCATCTGTGTGCTTTGTAGTTTGCATTGGTTCTCAAACTTTTGCACGCATCAGAATCTTGAAACAGATTGCCGAGCCTTTTTTCCAGAGTTTCTGATGCTCCAGGTTTGAGGATCAGAGGATGTGCATTTCTCTCAAATTCCCATGTAACGCCACCTTTCGAGAATGACCACACTTTGTATTGTAACACAGTACAAAGCAGCCTGAGGCCGGTGGGGCAGAATGTTCCCCACCAGAAATAATATTTGGAAAGAGTAAGCAATTTACCCGGGGTTATCAGAAGTAGAGTCAGATCAAAACCTTGTCTTTAGAGTATATCCAGCGGGAAGGCATACTTGTAGACCCCTGCTTCTGTACCCAGCTGCTTCCCCAGACCACAAGAATCCTCTTGAGGACCGTATAATGAAGACACAGCCATAGGGACTCTATAATTTAGGATTATGCCAAGGATGTGATCATTGTCCTATCTCAGGACACTAAGTTGGAACTTTCAGTGAGGAAGGGCAGAAAGACAGGGGTTGAAACTTTGACATTAGGTACACCATACAGATATATGTATGAGACATATATCTGCTGGACAGGACCTTTGACTAAGGTAAGCCCACTTGGCATGGGACCCAGAAAGAGGATTCCAGGCTGACAGGTTTGCTGCTGGAATAACAAGCCAGTTTGCCTGGATGGGGATTAGGTACAGAAAGCAACTACAGGGATCCCTTTTCCAAGATTGGGGTCCAGAGCAGAGCTAGAATTTCTCACTTACTAGATTGTGCAAGGTCAGAACAGAAGTAACAAGAAAGATGATTTCCTCAGTCTCATGTTGGGCTTCTAGAAACCTTGTTTAAGTCAAGATTAGTCTAATGATATGGGGCCCTTCCCACTTGGAAGAGAAGAAAAGTGAAGTTTGGGAAGCAGACAGGGTCTAACATAGATTAAACTTACTTTAAAAATGTCTTAAAATTCCGTCTGTGTAAAACTCTTTGAAATGAATAATTAGGTCATCATGTGATCATGATGCCCATCCACTAACCTAGTTTGAAAATTTTTATTTCTGCAAGTAAGAGTGTATAAATATGTTATCAGCTATTTACCTTCAATTTCCAAGATAGTTATATTTATTTGCATATATATGTGTATGTATAATTCACATGCATATTTTATGTAATTATGTTAATGTACTATATGTCATTGCAAGTTATGGAGGTGATTTATTACTTCCATGAACCCTATTTTGACTGGGATTTTAGGCAGTGGTATAATTTGTTTAATTTCAGGGTTGACCATACAGTATTTTGATATCAATCTTGCTGAAAAAATTTTTTAAATCTCCTTACCTCTTTCCTGCTGAATGTTGTATGCTGGAAACAACAAAGTCCTTTTTCCTCATTAAAAAATTTAATAAAATTCTCAATCTGATAATGTCAACAAGGCAGATATGAAATAAATACTTTGGCAGTGAGGGTGTATTGGAATGGAGGGGGGGAATGGTTACTGTGTTTCACATCATTAATATTAATTGTTCTTCTAGGGGTTTTATACCCTATCCTGAAAAGGAATGATAGAAACTGAATCCTGTTAGTTGAGGAGTGTGATTAAGTCTCTGCTAAGCCATAAACACTCAAGGGCTGGGTAGATTATGTATTTGATGATGGTAAACTATAAACACAGAGGGAATGATTATTCCTGTCCGTTTTCTCTTTAATAACATTGGTTTAGGATTCTGATAATCACCAGGAATGTTCATATGCGTAACATGACATCCTCACTGTTCTGATGGGAGCCGAACGCTGTCTTCCCTGTCTTCCTCTAGTCAACCTCAAGTAGCCTCAAGGTTTACTCTACTAGGGAAAGATTTGAGACTGGATTCTCTGTAAGGGCGGCGGGGAGGGGGGAGAAGCAGGAGCAGGAGCAAGACTTTTATAAACCAGTTTGAAAAAAGCATATGAAGGAAGATCTCAATGGTGCACGGTATAAAAAATGAACTAGAGGCAGTTCTCAGTGACAGAAAGGAGGGAGATTAAAACTGCTGTTTTTGTTTCTGACAGGCTCATGCACAGTTGGTTCGAGAAGTCGACGTGGAGAAGGTGTCTGCTTTCGAGAATCCATACGTAGATGCCATCAAGAGTTTATGGAATGATCCTGGAATCCAGGAATGCTATGATCGACGACGAGAGTATCAGTTGTCTGACTCTACCAAATAGTGAGTATTCACCCAAGAGGCCCTTTGGATCTTTCTCTAGCTCCGTGTGCTCCGCACCCACAGCTTCCGCATTCTTGGGCTTCACGTATAGTATCGGTTCCCGCTCCAGCCAGGAAGAAGTCTAGCGTGTAAACTCGTGCTAACCTCATACACTTACATTATATTCTAAGGGACTGGCATCATGAGTCAGGGAGAGTATTTCTTTTACTGTCCTCTGTTCGAAAAGCAGATTGAGGACTCGAGGACTCTGATTTTACCAACCCATCTCTCCCACCAAACTGCAGACCAGCACATCTCAAACACAGACTCCATTGCAATTCGAAATCCTGGAATAATAACTTTTCATACAAATTTCTGATCTTTTTGTCATGTGCTAGAAAGCACCTACACACGTTAAAAGCTCCAAACAAAAAATACGCTCGACTATGGCCTCTAACATGTCAGACTTCCCAGTTTCCAGTTTCCAGACACAGAACCTTGACTGCTTTCTGGGAGCCACTATTATGTTGATGGATAGGCTTATCTTTGCATGGAAATCGTGTGAGTCTCATTTTGCATGCATTCCAAAATTATTCTGTGAGCTGTCAATCAAAATCGTGGGTCCTGGGAGAGATTTGCATCCTAGAGAGGTTTGTTAGTTCTCTAGATTAAATCTCGCCTAACAGAAAGAAAGTGAAGATCTGGCAATCATTGAATTAATGTAGTCAGTGCAGTCAGCAATCTAGATAATCAGGCGCCTGAAAAAATGCACTTTCTGTAGTACTTAGCCAGGTTCCTGTCTACATTAATCACGTTAACCCAGCGTTTGCCTCTTGTGTGGGTTCTGGGTGGACAGAAGAATGGGTGGAAAGTCGTCAGCAGCCTCAGGCCGATTCATACGAAGCATGGGCCACTGGATGAGAGCAGGGCCGTGGGGAAGATAAGGAGCCCCCAGGGCTGATTGGCTTCACCCAGAATGCCTGGAAGATCCAAGAGCTGTTCAGTTCTGTCTTCTCAATATAACAGGTCACATTCTTACTCACGTTCTAGGCATTTGTGTAAGATAAGTTATCATTCAGGTCAGTGCAGAAATGGTGCTTGGTCTAGACCATTCTTGTTCTCCTGTGGTACACTTCAGTTCTGGAATGTGCCGTAGAAGGCTCGTGATCGCCAAGCCTGTCGTATGTTAACTAGTACGAATCCCCTGGCGTGCCTGTGGAAGGTGCACTTTCCTCATTCCCGACTTTGTTTTTCCTTCCTCCACACCTCCACGCCACTGCTCTGCCATTCTTCTCTTCTGCTCTCTGCCTGCCTTGGGCCCTCGTCCCTCCCCCTGGAAGCCCTACTGTATGAGTTTCTGTGAGTGCACACATGAGGGATGCAGTCAGCTCTTGTCTCTTCCAAATTCTGCCCCCTCAACCTTTGACCAGCTGTCTTTCTCTTACTTCCTGCCCCCTCTGTCCTTCTGTTTGCTTTGCCATTTCAGATTTCATCTATCTCCCCATGGTGCTGTTGTGCTTTATCTCTTGTTCCCTGTTCCTGCTCAGTGTGTCTCCTCCTATCAGCTTGCTTCCCCCTCCACCCTCATCTGTCCTTCTCGTCGGTTCTCCTCTTCCTCCTCTGCACATCCCACTGTACTACTGGGATGCCTCTCCTGGCCCTTACTAAGCAATAAATCCTCCATTATCAAGTTATATTAACTAATAAATCCTCTAAGCTCTCATCCTATCTAACCTCTCTCTCTGAGAGACAGGTTAATCCTGTCTCTCCCCCTTCCTCACCTGTTCTAGTCTCTACCTCTCACCTGTGACTTTTCTACCAACAGAGAGGTCTTGGGGCCTCAGAGCACCAGTGTCTAATAATTACATTCTTACCAGGGTCAGGGTTCCCCCTTAGGAAATGATTTTGCCTCCCTCTCTGGGGATGGACCCTGGAAGAGATTCCAACGACACCTCTATGAGCTGCTGTGCTTGTGTCCTTGAGACAAGGTTCTTCCATATCTGGTGACACTCCTTGGTTGAGCTTTGCAGAGCCCATGAGTTAGTACAAGAATAGATGTTTGCAGTGTCTACTACTTTAGGGAAAGAGCTCTTCAAGACCTTTTGTTCAGACCCGCATTAGCATTGGGATTCTGGAAAGCCACCATCTTAGCATTCTGTTGTATAGGCGGCATCTACTGTAGAACCATGCCGTTGGGCACGTCCCTGATGCTAGAGCCAGACCGAGGTGTGGGGGGCAGCCGGGACAGACTCATCTAAATCCCTTCAAGTGATTATTCTTTAAACAGTTTCACTTTCCACTGATGGGGATATGGAGAAGTTGATTTTCTGAACTATATATATATATATGGGTCTATGTGTATGCACACGTACCTACTTTTTTTTTGCAGAAGAAGAAAGTAAATTATTACATATTCTTAGATGCCCACATTTCAGTACCCATCTCTTGAAAAAAAAAATAGGATGTTTCCCCTCATAGTAAATGATACTCTATTACATCTCAAATTAATCGTCGGTCCTTTTTCTCATTATACCCGGTTCATAGTCATACTTCCTAAATTCTTCCAAAATGTCCTTTAGAGTTGGTTGGTTTTAAGACAGCACATGGCTTTTGTTTCTGTGTCCCTTAGGCTCTTGTGATTGGGAGAGTCCTGTTTGCATTTCATTGGCATGTTGAAGAGATTAGCCTGATTGTGGCTTTATATAGTGTGAATTAACTTGCTCCTTTGTCTCCTGAACTTACTATAAGCTGGAAATTACATTTAAAGATTCAATTAGATTCAAGTTAAATGTGAGGAGAATGCACTCAAGATGATGTTGTTTGCTCATCGCTGGTGATGGTGAGGCTCACCACGGTATTAGGGCACTGATGTGTCCTCTATTATAAAGCTACATTTTTCTTCCTGCCACCAAAAGCCATCCGCGTGGTGATACTTTGTCACTGGGTGATTCTCTGGCTCCCCATCAACTCTTACTTAATGGCTTTACTTCCATTTGACGTCTTGTATGATTTAATAATTCCCTTAGGGTTTATAAAAGAGGGATTTTTCTACTTTTCTCAGTCAGTCCACATTGGTATTCTTTTGTGAAATAGAAGTTTCTTTCCTCGGCTGGTGCTATTTGATTACCCTTTAATAAATTTTCTGCTGAAAGACATATGTTTTGATCTTTTTGTTAGAATAACTTGTTGCATAGACAAAATAAATGGTGACCATAGAATTTATCATTCGAACCAAGACATTTTGAGAAGGAATGAGTTGCTAATAATAATGAGGCTGTGGCGATTCACAGACCTGTACCCCTGGGGCTAATAATACATTAAATGTTAATAAATAAATAAATAAATAAATAAAATTTTTTAAAAGAAAAAAAATAATGAGGCTGAAATAAAAAGCATAAGCTGAGGATCCTGGCTGAACAGGAACCTTTGGTCACTTTAGCTACACGAAATGTAGGGAGGTGTTTGGTCTTTTGTTTGGGGTTCCCACCCCCCTTTATTTTCTCTGGAAGACTCTTTGCTTCAAGGTGGGGAGTATAACCAATATATTGCTACCAGTTATATAAGGAGTTGTATGTAAGAACCTGAGTTAGCTGGGCCTCTGTTTCTGGTCTCTTCCCAAGATGTTTTAGCTCTCTTTATAGACCACTGCCCAGCACCTGGCTGGCCCGCCTTTGATCCCACTGAGTATTAGAGACCCCTTTGTCTTCCCCAGTTAGTCCAGGGCACTTTTCCTTAGTTAGGAAAACCCTCCCAGCACAAGGATTAGATCCATGGTATGTTGGATTTACCCACCTGCTGCTGCATTCCACCTCCTTCTCTCTCTCTCTCTCTCTTTCTTTCTCTCTCTCTGTCGTGTTGCCCCACCAGACGCTCTGGGGACTGTAGGAAGAGCACCGAGGAGGATCTGGGCCCCACATCTTGAATACCACTGAGTCCCAGTAATGGCCTCATTTTCACAGAGGAACTATGACGTACACATGATTCAAGTCATTCTTTTCTCTGTAGTCAGGATAGCTGTTACCTCTTTCCTGATTTTTTGCGTGCCCCCTACTGGTGTATCTTTAGCATTTTAGCTCCCTCCTCTACTTCCGGTAGGTCTTCTTTGTTGTTCTGTCTGAATAATTAAAAGCAACAATACTTCCTTGATATTCTGGACCTGATTTCTTTTTTTTTTTAATATTTTACTTATTTATTTGACAGAGGGAGGGAGAGAGATCACAAATAGGCAGAGAGGCAGACAGAGAGAGAGAGGGAAGCAGGCTCCCTGCTGAGCAGACAGCCGATGTGGGACTCGATCCCAGGACCCTGAGATCATGACCTGAGCCGAAGGCAGGGTCTTAACTCACTGAGCCACCCAGGCATCCTGGACCTGATTTCTTATATGATGCCATCACCTTACAGAACTCTTTCTAAACTCAGGACCAACTTCTCTGAGTGCTGTCTCTACTTGTGGTTCGGTCAGTTGGGATCCAGGGGACATGGACTTTGGTCATCGTTAGCAGGGTGAGAAGTGGGGCCTGCCACACACCTCTGCTCAGAACTCACAGCACCATCGCTGTTCTCTCTGGGACCCAGCTGGTGCCGAGAGTCAGTGCTGACCACTTGCCAGGGATGCTGAGAGCAAAGGCAAAGCATGTCTCTCTTCTTCTTTTCTATCTGCTGAACTCCTGTTCATCCTTCAAGACCCTATCCAGGGGGCGAGTCTCTGATAGTCCCTGCTAAAGGGTCTCTCCCCTCAAAACCTGATAAGGACTGCTCACATTTGACCTTCACAAATGATTGTTCCCAGAATAATAGATGGATACTTCCTGTGATTTCAGTGACCCTGATGTAGGTGTCATTCTAGATGAACTATGAAGTTTCAGAGCTGGAAGTATTTAAGGTTTGTTTTTGATTTTGTTTTTGAAGGTCTGGGTTCTGGAAAGTTCTGTTACCATTGTAGCCCCTGTTTGCTGAACACTTCCTTTATGTTAGATTCTATACTTAGTCATCTACGTGCATTATTTCATTTAATCCTCAAA